TGCATGCTGTGGGGCTCTGTATCGTACAAGTAATACCTGCGTTGCCCTTGGTGCTGCTATGTTGCCAGTACTTCGAAGTATGTCTATGTGACATGTATGTGTACAGATGACTGCACTTCTCGGTGGAGTGAATGCCCTGCACTCAGCTTTCCCGTCAGATCCAGAAGGCGAATACGCCAAACAAGGTAATGATTCAAATGATCGTGACATTGTGCAGCACCTGTCTTGCTAGAGCTTTGAAAAGAGTATGAAAACTTCATACTTTTCACAGCTCTAATTAAATTGGTGTCTCCACGAAGATTTTCTCTTGTTGTAGTTCTACTCATCAACTGCTATGTAAATACCCGTACATGTATTATTAGATGGCAGCATAGATCTGTGATGTGTTGTATCAATATACTACTGTTCTACTATGCCATTGACTGTGGACGCGCATTGATCCTTCCGTGCCTCTGTGCGCAATTGTCAGCCATGTGTATCCACACCGCCCCTGTGCGCGCGCGTGTGTGTGTGTGTGTGCATGTGTGTGTGTGTGCATGTGTGCATGTGTGTGCGTGCATGCGTGCGTGTGTCTGTGTGTTGGTTACAGCTGATCTTATTCTGCGTGCTCTACACTTGGAGGAGATGTGTACAGAAGAAAACTTGACCAGTTCTCTACAGCCTGGACTACTGTGTTCGCAGCCAGCTACATCAACAACTGCTACTCGTAACGCCCATCAACAAGCTGCTGCATCGCGTGCACAGTCGAAGTGGACTATCTTAGAGAATCCATCAACTGCACAACTGGCTACACAACACCAGCAATTGCTTGCCAATCAGAACGAGAGTCGACGCACGCCAGCTAGGAAGCGCGGACTTGCTACTCCGCATCGTGTCGGCTCAACCGTTAGCCCTCCGAATCAGGCCGGTGGTACACACACTGCAAATACGACTGTGACTTCTGCTGGCTCATCTGCTAGCGCGTCTGCACTTAGAACACCTGTCGCCAGACCAGCGAGGCTGACCAGACCAGCTCAGGCCGCTAGCACTGCACAACCGGTAACCTCCACCTTGTCTTCTTCTTCTTCGACCCAGGCAATGTCTAGCATTGGAGCTGCACGTGAATCAGGTAACAGGCACACCTCACCTGTCGTAGCTGCCATGCCCATGCATACCATGAATCAGTGTGCCGATGACGAGGACGACAACGAGGATGATGACATGCTTATGCAAGAGGCCTTGGAAATGAGCGATGCTCTAGAGAAGACGTTTGCTGAAGAAAGCCAGGCAATACCAGAGTCGCCCTATCCTGCTAATGTTCCATCGGCAGTTCAACAGCGGCATCGAAATCGCGAACAACGCCTTGAACAGCCTCACTTTCCGCCCATAGATGACTTTCCAGACGACGAATGTGATATGCTGGAGATCGAAACTGCCTGTGCAAGTGTTCCCAGCAGCTGTCAGGCAACTTCTGTACCATTTGTTTCGGGTTTGGATGTTGAGCTGTCTGTTTCTCCGCGCTCTACATCCTCATCCTCTGTCTCTGTACAGTCAACATCAAGATCAATGACAAATGTTAGCCACCGAAATCCTCCTAATGAGTCAGCTGTGGCGGGACACATGCCCAGCACTCGTCCAAATCAGCCTTCCAAATCATCACCTGGTATGCGCCCTTCCATTCACCCCTGTTCTATTTCTTCCAGCCAGGCTCAAAGTAGTCACTCAACTGTATCTACTTCATCTCATGAGCTGGTACGCCACCCTGTCTGCGAAGCTCCATCACCGCTTCCCGCAGCAGTACCTAGAAGCCAGCAGTCTGCAATCACGCCTCGCAAGTTCACGTTTGTCCGCAAACCGTCCATGTCATCTCCGCCGGAGCATGCCTCTTCCCAATCCATGCCACCCCCGTCATCGCAATCTGCATCTGCACAACCCGCAACGGCACAACCAACTTCAAACAACACTAGACCTGTGCCATCTGTATCTCAATGCAGCCAAGTCTCTTCCTCACAGCCGTGCACAAGAGATGGCTCAGTGATGACAGCTAGGCCTTCAAATGCATGCAGAAAGCAGCCAGGCATGTCAGTATCACGCACTGCCAGCTCACAAGTTCAAGCTAGTGTGGCTAGTAAAGGCACTAATGGCAATGATCCTTCAGCTCCACTTCGATCTGCTCGAAGCTCGGCAGTACAGCCAGCTCAGGGCAAGAGCACTGCTAGTGATGTCTCTGCTCCGCCATTGCGTGGTAGGGCCGCAACAAAGGCTGCATCTTCAACTCCTGGAAAATCACTTAATCAGCCACCAAGTGCCGTGTGTGCAGCTGCCAGCTCAGCTGCTGCTAGCAAGCTCTCTAAGTTTTGCTTTGCAGGACAGGCATCACCTAATGGCAGTAGTGGGCTCGTCTCACAGGCATCCTCTATGCGTTCTTCTCCTGCCCAGTCAAAGGCGGGGGATGATCGTGAAAACCGCAGTGGACACGTTTCCTGTTCTACTGTACAGAGTTCTGCTATGCGCTGTCCCAGTCAGCCAGCTGCTGCTGATGCTGGTAGTGGTAGTGTTAATGGTGGTTCATCACAACGAATGAGGGCTGCCCTGCAGGCTCTACGTGGTACCAGTAACAGCAAGTCTAGCAGTACAGTAGCGTCACAGACTGGATCCAAGAGCTCTACTCATGCCAACGCTTCACCTAGCCAAGCTGCTGTGCGTGCTGCTAATCCACAGCAACGGCTGCAGCCTCCTGTTCTCAGGCAGCTTGAACCCCGTGCTAAGAAGAAAGCTGTTGAAAATCCACTGATATCCAAATCCGCAACTGGACTGAATGCGGCTGGGAAGAGTAACCCATCATCGGGCAGTACCGGCTTATTTGCCTCTTCTGCACAAGCACTGGGTATCGAGGATGAAGATGATCTGGATGATCTGGATGACATGGAGTGGCTACTAACACCAGCATCTTAAGAGAGCATGTAAGTGCAAGGAATTGTAGCATTTTAGAATGTCTGTCGTACAGGACAGTGTCAGCAGAGTGCTGTCTTCTGTGCGTTCAACCTTCTACAAGTAATGTACTGTAGTGCTTGGAAGGATGTACTGGCCTTTTTGGTGTGTATCTCCATGCGAAGAGAGATGACTTGGGCATACGTCCCAGCGATACCTCTTTTATAACTATTTTGTAATGCATTCTAGCAAGCAATTGGTATACAATATAATAGCACAGTTTAGTGATAGTTGAGTTCGGGTGTACATCCGGATTATATGTTTCCTCTGAAGCCCATAGTCGCATCTTTGTGCACAACTCTTATATAGGTATATTTTGTCGTTTGTTCTCTAGGGCGTGTGTACATGATTATAGGCGCGCCGGGTTGTAGCTGACGTACCGTTCAATTAATTACTTGCAATGGCGCATGTCGTCACTCATCGTTAGTTGTGCGCTAGTCGAGTGGTATTTGTGTCATACAATCTGAACTATTTTTGAAGTACTGGTGCATGCACCTGATGCTACCATCTTTCCTTCCAGTACTGTATTACAAATGCAGTTTTTAGGACCTGGGTTATTATTATATGCCACACTACACACGTGTACAGACTTATACCATCCTTGCACGGTACATATCAGCCTGTCTAGGAATACTGTGTATACTGCACTCTCGAAGCACGGTGTAGATAATATGTTTGCAGTACTCAGACGTACTCCTGGTTGGTTATTGTATGTACATACGCATAGCAAGTGACATTGTGTCTGTCAAAATACATGTACAGTGTACCAGCATGCGCTTACACTTTGCAGATCTTTGAGCCGGAGTTGGGTGCAACACCAATCTTGATTTTATTCACATTCTATCAATTTTAGTAGTGCGTGTACATGTATTCCTGGACGCTGGCGTTCAGAATAACATTTGTGAACTTTGGTCGCATTCAGCAGTTTGTCTTTGATCTTGGCCGAGTCGAGACAAATTCTGCAGTGTGTGGAAGTGATTGTCCAGGCGTTCCACTGGTTTGTAGTCTACTGTGTGCTATGCGTCAATAGCCTCAGAGAGTACAATACTCCCTGATGCAGTGATTGGACCCACAGCCCAATGTAACAATTGTAATGGGGTTGAGTGTAGTACATAATTATTATATTAACATGCCATGCAGTCACAAAATATACAGCCGTGCTCAAACTATTCAAGGCTCCTGAAACGAGTCAATACGACAATTATCGCAATGCCCAAGTGCTAGTCTCCCCCCCCCCCCCCCCCCCCACACACATATACCCTCCCAGTTTTGGATGGTTAATCATGACACTGGATAAGACACACATAAAAGTATTCTTCATTCACGAGTACCATAACAACGCTTTCTTCGATACGTGGTGGTGAAGGTGTTGGAGAGATGACTACCGTAATGAGTGCTAAGAATAATCCTATGCGCGTGATGCCAGCATACGTCGCCGTTCAATAACTATACAAAACACCGTATGAAGCAGCTTTTGGCTGGTAGAAAACTCGAGGGCATGTGGACACTAATAGCAGTAAAAAAATATACACGTACCATCCATGGTGCAGGTAGAGGAAAGTACGAAGAGGCAAAAAGGATAAGATTACCGAGAGGTTAGGAACGAGCAACACCCACCCAATACAGGCATGGGGAATATGAGTAGTTACGTATGTGGATTAGGTATGCTTACAAGATGAACGAGTATGGAGGTATACTTGAAGTATATAAAAAGATAAGCAGGCGAATGGGAGCATGGAATGTCACCAATTATATAGCGGTTAGGTGGTTAGTACTGGCTACATACGTATATATGTTTAGACTTCTTAGGAAAGGCCAACGCCATACTGGGCCAGGAAGGTAACTAATATGGGATAGAAAAAAGGCTAATAATAAGTAACAACACAACAATGCATAGAAGTTGGCAGGAGATAAGCCACTAGCCAGAACAGCAATACCTATTCGCCACTCGGCAGACCGTCGACTTCTTGCACCAGAGCACGCTCCAATATAACATGACCCTCCTGAATGAGAGAGAGAGAGAGAGAGACACACACAGAGAGTAACTTACACGTGGTCTGTAGAGAAATACCATACCGTCATTTATCACTCCCTTAGGATTGACTCACATAGATTTTTGCCATACCTAAGCAGTCAAATATTCCTGCATATTTCACTCCTTAGGGCTATATTGACTGCTTATATTTGACTGCTTAGGGGTTGCGCAGTTGAACGGTGCCTAGTGCAGCATTGTCACTGCATGAGTAGGTGGTGGTGCAACGGTTGTGCAATCATAAAACCGGGATTCATGAGGTTATCGTTCTGGAATTTGAAATACGGACTGTTTGTCGTGATAAATCTAATATTGACTTCGTACTTGGTCAGTATAGGAAATAAAAACCTCGTAAAAGACCTCGGCTTCGCCTCGGTCTTTTACTCGGCTTTTATGTCCTATACTGACCAAGTACTCAGTCAATATTAGATACGTACATGATACATCCACACAACGTGATCAGTAGCAAGAAAACATTTTTTTTTAAGGTGGCTCACACCCTCTGCGCGCGCATCGTTTGAAAAGTGTAGATTTTCAGTACATTTTTCGGTAGCGATGATTTTTGTGCGATCAATCGTTGTTGAACGTCTTCTCGCTTTTCTGCAATTCTGGCGACCTAGCTAGAACCTGCTGCTAGTGTCCCTCTTCACTCGTTCTTTCTATGATAGGGGAAGGAAGCACTCGCAGAAGATTTTCCAAGAATGCAATGTCGACTGGTGCTCGTACCATAAGAAGGGAGAAATCAAAGTCCGCTCTTGAATCATGCCTGAGAAAATTATTTCAGAACACGCTTGTGTAGATTTCCTGCCAGTGCCACTGACATCTCGCGACCTCCAAATATTATAACTTGCTCGATCATCTCCCGCACTGACTGGCAAATTCGTCAGGTAGCTGTGGATGGATCGATTCAGGGAGATCGAAGGTAAATACATCGAAGCACTTCAAACACGTTTCAAGACGCACTTCAAATTTTGTAATTGTGTCTTGAAAATTGTTTAGAACAATTCCACGGTACTTCAATACGCTGTTGAATTGTATCCTCTGCTTGGGAGTCTCGACTGTTTTATTGCTGCATGGCTCTCCTCAACACCGTTCACTGTACATGTATCGCGGAACGCAGATTGGATGGCATTGGAGGTGAATTTGATAATTTGTGACTGTGTCATCAACCAACTTCGGTGAGGACATCAACGGGGACGCTCCGAAAATCACAAGCGCTGCGAAATAGATGGTCTTACACACTGGAGGGTATTCCACATTCATTGTGTCATATCTTTAGACTGTCCGAAAGTTTGTCGTGCCGTGCAACTTTCACAGACTTATCCGATAATTGGCATGTGGCCCTACTGGCACACACTCATGCGTATGCCGTTGAGTTTATCTATATGTGCACGCACATGTGTGTATACATATACAATTTTATTACGTATGCAAAATTAGGCAATCTACATGTACATACTGTGTGTGCACTCACTCTTATGACATAGAACGACAGTGCAGGCTATGTAAAGTCGCATCAATGTGTGTCACCCGGGTGTGTACATGCATGCGCGCTCGCGCGGGCGTTTTGTGTGCGCGCCTGGCATGGCATAACGCCGTTCAGTATGACTAGTGTTGAACCGTGGTAATTTGCCCCCACCCCCTCTTTTTTCTGCTGGCGTTGGATATGCAACTAATGACATAAACTCGGTTGTTGAAAACGAGTGCCATGCACCACAATGGATGGACAATAATATAATACAAGTAGCACTGTAAAAGCGCTGGTAATACTTATGTTGAAGCCATGGCAGTTGTGAGTAGCTTTCCAAGTCAAGCCTGCTGCAGAAATTATTGCACTCTGACCAGCTGGAGTGGCCCGGGACTGCCGGTTGTGGAGAACAGGAGTGATGCTTGTATATACGCTTGTATTTACATGATGTACACAGTGTACTTCGAAGTAACGTTAGGTGTATTACTTGTGTGTTCTTCTGCCTGTGCGCGTGTACATGTGCTGGTCAGTGTGGAACCGCCATCCATATCAGATCACACAGCTGCTATCAGTCTCAACAGCTTGTATCTTGCAAATAGGGTTTTAGTGACTCGATTTTGCTTACTGTGTTCAACAGAGTGGCATTGCACACAGCTACTTGATGTAATAGTAGCATCTTGGAAATTTTATATTTTTGATAGTTAGCTTCAGTAGAAACTTCTCCAGTGTGGCTCTTAGCTTCATTACCACGGAGACCAAGCATTCAAGTAATGCACGAATAACAGTGGCTAGATGTGAAGTGAAAAGCCATTGGACTGTACCCCGTGGAATACGCATTTAGTATAGAAGTATTGCTTGCTATGTTGGCAGCAAACACTGTATAATAATAATAATAATTACATTACCAGTAGAAAGTGCCCAATGTGCATTGCTTCAGCACTATGTTTGGACAAAGCAGTCAACAAATTCCACATCACTATCGCCTTCATGTTGGAGAAAGTTGTGAAAAACACTGGAGCATACATGTACACTCAATACACATGCTCAGCTACATGTATGGCATTTAGTATGTGGGCGACTTCAAAGTTCTATTTTGGTAGTTTGCTTCGGTAGAAACTGTCTAAACTTGATCCAAAGCTCTACTACTATGTTCTGAAGATGTTGCAATCAAGTAATGTAAGACACGTATCTGCCGCATTGGAGCTAGTTGCGAAAACCTTTAGACCATGCACTCAATGCACATGCTCAGCTATGGCATTTAGTATGTGGGCCACTTCAAAGTTCTATTTTGGTAGTTAGCTTCCGTGGAAACTGCTAAAACTTGATCCAAAGCTCTACTACTATGTTCGGAAGATGTTGCAATCAATTATTGTAAGACACGTATCTGTCATATGGTGGAGTCAGGGGTTCTAAGGCGTTGGACAATGTCCCAGTGCAATGTGCTGATTCTTGAAATATGGCATCACTTGAAACTTCAAAGTTTTATTTCACGAGTTACCTTCGGTAGAACCTGCTCAAACTTGCTACACAGTATCATTATTAGGTTATGATAGCATAACCATCGAATACAGGGCAAGTCCAGTGTCAAATACCTGTGGGCGGGGCTAATATGTGGGACGTGTGCGCTGAAATGGGATGATTCCGAAAAGAGAAAAAAGGTCACCTTATAGCAGAATTCTACCCACTTCTACAGCTTATGCTGATATTTAGCAAGTATACTACTGTCCTGATGGTGGACATCAAGAAAAAGGGGGTAACTACCTGTGCTACGGCCAAAAAAGTGATTTTCCGGTATTTTTTGGCCTAAATTGGCAATTGTGAGTATGCTATGTTTGGCCCCTCCCCCGAGTGAAACCGGCCGGTAGAACTTGATAAAAATTTGTCTCCGTACACTAGATATCCAACGGAACAAAGTACAATCGTTTGCAGCCACGTTTCAAACAAAAAAAAATTGGACCCGAGGGGTAGGAGCCACCTTAACTCGGACATAGCTCAACAGAACATGAAGTTGGCATACCTTGTACTTTTGGGACTCTTCCGTTGCAAACTCCTGAAGCAAATAGAGAAGAATAGCACACTGCCTTAAAGTCTATGCGCCAACAGGCATGAGCCAGTTACTAGTGTCCAAGCCTGTTGGCAATCAGCCCTGTTTGGTCATTGGAATACGTGCACTATGTATGAAGCCTAGCTGTTTATGATCTTGCGCTACTTTGAAACGCTTTCCGTGAATTAATACATGTACGTGTGCCAGTGCATGAAACCTGTACTGCATCGTCAACACAATCACTCGTGCAGCAGTTGTGCAGGGCATGATCCAAGTGGGTCTTATGTGAGCTGAAATCGCAAGAACCCCAGGGGCCAGTGATTGGACCGATCCCAATGTCCGCGTTTGGTGAAGTTTGCACGAGTGTGCAGCGGCAGTACTTCATACTTGCCTGATTGCGTTGCATACAGTCAACAGCAGTAAGACTGCGTTGCATACAGTCAACAGCAGTAAGACTGCGTTGCATACAGTCAACAGCAGTAAGACTGCGTTGCATACAGTCAACAGCAGTAAGACTGCGTTGCATACAGTCAACAGCAGTAAGACTGCGTTGCATACAGTCAACAGCAGTAAGACTGCGTTGCATACAGTCAACAGCAGTAAGACTGCGTTGCATACAGTCAACAGCAGTAAGACTGCGTTGCATACAGTCAACAGCAGTAAGACTGCGTTGCATACAGTCAACAGCAGTAAGACTGCGTTGCATACAGTCAACAGCAGTAAGACTGCGTTGCATACAGTCAACAGCAGTAAGACTGCGTTGCATACAGTCAACAGCAGTAAGACTGCGTTGCATACAGTCAACAGCAGTAAAACTAGGTTGAATACAGTCAACAGCAGTAAGACTGCGTTGCATACAGTCAACAGCAGTAAGACTGCGTTGCATACAGTCAACAGCAGTAAGACTGCGTTGCATACAGTCAACACCAGTAAGACTGCGTTGCATACAGTCAACAGCAGTAAGACTGCGTTGCATACAGTCAACAGCAGTAAGACTGCGTTGCATACAGTCAACACCAGTAAGACTGCGTTGCATACAGTCAACACCAGTAAGACTGTGTTGCATACAGTCAACACCAGTAAGACCGCCGCAATTCAGCGTGCACATACCAGCAGGAAACTGTTCGCACACCCACTTCACGCAAACATGCATTCACGATGCCTACATGTGAATGGTACGTACTGAAGTAAAACTTACATACATCCAGCCGAGACGCGAGCCACAGTTTTTACAGGAAACATCACGGACAATATGACGTCCAGTTAGCTGTAGAGGTGACACATGCACGCCGATAGCATTAAACAAATATTGGCAAAGGATACAAAACCATATCAGTTGAGAGAGAATACTTGAAGTGATTTAAATCCATTCAAGCATATACACTACATAATGTACAGTAGCACTATTTCTACAGAAAGAGAGTACTGCTGGCAGTGCTTGGTGACATCACATGTCACATGACATGGATTTCATTGGAAACTTGTCACCCTGATTTACCACTTCTCACATAAACAATGTCATGTGACACATGGTGTCACCATTGGATATGCTGTACATATCCTTCCCTAGGATAATAAGAACATTTCTCCAACTTTCGCAGAGTCTGGAACTTTTCCGAGAGGATTTTAAAGGATGCACTTGCGTCTTTCATCGGTGTGAAAATTATATGAGCCGTGTCCCTAATACGGGATACACCCTTCAGTCACTTTATGATAGTGATGTAATCCATTCAGAGAACACAATCATGCACTTATACTAATGTCTTGCACATACCATGAAACGAACTTGAAGTTCGCTATAAGATAAGTTGACACTGCAACAACAAAAATAACAACAACAACATAATTATCTCTTATTGGCCACAGTCCACCATGAGAATAAAGATTAGAAACAACCGTTACCGTATGGTGAGAAACTAACTTGAAGTTTTCATTAGTTGGAGGGAAATTTGAAAACGGGAAAAGTCAGAAAATTTTTTGACTGTCATCACCAGGACTTCAACCAGAGACCCTCGCTTATTAATATATGGCCAGCGGTGCTCTACCGCTAAGCTATGGTTGTGAAGTACATGAACATTGCACATGTACATATACTAGCACAGGCACAGTAGAAACTAGAAACCATGTACAACATAGTTACATACAGTAGTAATGAAGTCAAATAATCAACTGCATGTGTATGTATGGCCTACGAAATTTCCTGTGCACACAAGAGATAGGTGGAGTGTGCGGTGATAGTGACTGCATTGTTCTTACACCACCTAGTCGTCACATGTTGCATTCTACACATCACTGCATGTGTCGTACTCATACCTCCATGATGTGCTACATTCGCACTGCTGTATGTTATAGCCTCTTGCTATTCCAGTAATCATTGCATTCTGGCAACCTCACTACAGAGTGCTGCGGATGAGACAACACTGACCTTTACCATGTTTACAGGACAGCACCATGAGCTGTATGGACCGTGAGGTGGTATGTATGTGCGTTCGAATGTAGTGATAACCAGCGCGCTAGGTTCACGTACATATACTGGTCATTCTGAAGGTCATGGCACTAAGGGCGCGTTCAGACTAGCGTGAATCCCGTCAAACCGGGAAAGGCGATAAACCATGAAGGACATTCGCACTACCGATAAACTGACGTTACCGTTACGTCGGTTATGCAGCTCTCACCGCGGCACTGAGAAGGGTTTTTGCCAGCGTGAGCACTTTTTTACTGCCGCAGCAGTAAAACGTTTCCACCAGTAACGTCACGTGATTAAATCACCTTGGAAACTTTGACTTTCCCCATCGGTCACTTTTTATCGGTAGTCTGAACGCGCCGCGCGCCCTAAAGAGCACTACATGTACTGTACACAGTACAGACTATAGTGTGTGACTTAGTGTGTGACTATAGTGTGTGACTTATATTATTACACTGTAATCTGTATAGTAGATCATGCAAAAGGATGCAAATGTAGAAGTTGAGGTTTGAAGCTAAGCACTCACGCCTTATTGAACAAAAACGCACGGCCTGTCGTCCCAGAGAACCTCTACATGGCCAACACACAACCACAAAAGCAACCAGACAACAATAATTATCACTTCCATCACGTCGACCTTCTAGAGGAGAGCTGATGGTATTTTGGGCACTTACATTCGACATCATTTCACTCTTGTTCGTCAATGCAGTTGAACAATTCCAACAGCAATATATCCTGGAACCACCAGGGTGGGTCAAATACACCTTGCCCATTGTAGCTTAGCCTCAGTCTGCCTCAATGCCAGACCAGTACGATACAGGAGAGCTGGCTTATCTTCTTGTTGAAGGGATTATTCTCCAAACACAGTCAAGGCCCAACACACAGGAGCGCAGGACACGCTCTACCTATTACTACTACTAGCACACCACAAGGAGAACAAACGACAACATAACCATGAATGCATGATAACAACGGCTACAGAAGCGAGCCGTTGTTATCCTGCCTTCATCTGTCGTTCAAGTTCATGGCAGTACAAGGAAGGTGGACAGTCAGTCAGTAGATATCCTGGCTTGCCTTTGCACAAAACAACCATTCAAGCAACACGTGCGTGCAGGGTGTGCACAGGGTGTGCATGCAAGCATTCAGAGCTACTGTGCTGGCAACTGAAATCCTACCCCCCGGCGGCGCGGCGCGGCGCGCCGGCTAGGGGTCGGATTTCATTTGCCAGCACTGTGTAGCTAGATAGAGTGACATCATGCATACCAGCAAGAGTACATAACTACACAGTGTGTAGTTATGTACTCTTGATACCAGGTACCTAGGTACGTCGTCGACTCGTCGAGTACGAGATCTAGCGCATAGCATGCAGCACTCATGATAATGCGCGTGCGACATGCAATCATAATCTTTTGAAAATACATGACTTGTAGTTGTAGCAAGAGTAGATGTACTCTTGCTTGTAGTTGTAGTCAGTCTGGAGTCAAGGTTTGCAACACAGACCTGATAAATTTAATTCAACAACAGCTTTTACTTATGATAGTCTGCCAATTTTCAATACTGCTTTAAAATGCCTGCTTACGAAGGCCTTGGCATTGGTGTAGAGAGAGCAGCTGTTGTTTTGGACGTTGGCTTTGCTCACACGAAGTATGCAGTAGTAACTTTTTGCCAGGGTTCCTTGAGAGATTTTTGGCTCACTACTAGCAGTGTGTTGGAATTGCCTTGTACAGGTGCGGGTTTTCTGGCGAGTCATCTCCTAGATTCATCATTCCCAGCAAAGCTGAGAACATAATCACCAAAAAGGCAAGTTGTCGCAGGATACATCGCGGAACCCCACCCCCACCTTTACCCCCACACAAAACTACTGAGTACTGTACAGTCATGTAATGAATGACCAAGAGCACCCAGCCCGCAAAGGCCATTGTATCATGGAAACGACGACGGCAAATTGAACTCTGTCTTTACAGAATTGCATGCAGGAGTTGCACACCCTGGGGGTTATGTCCTCTTGATATACAGCATTGTGTCCACATGTAAAACTCATTGGTGCATGTAAATCACGACTTGTGTACTGACACTGATAGTACGATATGGCAGTGTACACATATACGCAAGTAGAGGAAATATTGCACTGCAAAAATAGATCCCCCGACACATCAGTTTTTCACGGCCATTTGTGTCACTGATACCATCGTGCGTAGCCAGAGATCAAAAGTGCGGAGAACTTGTACAGGAAGCCACATTTAACTAATAGTCAAAACAGAAATACGGGTGGTAGATGCATGCGTCCTAAACGTGATGAATTGACACTATAATATTTCTACATGACAAGTATGCAAAGGCATATACACTGATATATTACACTTTTACCAAAAATGACGCGATAAGAGTCCTCCACGAGTGAGTCCATTGCAGCTCAAGATAGGAGCTGCACACTTTTGGTTTTGTACTCTTGGTATATCAGATACAAAGTACAGCCATGCTCAACGAACTGTGCTTGTAATGTGCACTCTTGGTATATCGGATACAAAGTACACGTATACGGTATAGCCATGCTCAATGAACTGTGCTTGTACTGTTGCCCGGCGGGCGCAGTGAGTGGTTGATTTGAACTGATTTCTGATGTTGTGCTTGCAGGTAGTTGACCTGTGGACTGCGTCATCAAGTGAACTCTCCAATGTGCTTATTGACTTCATCTATCACATCTACTTCAGGTACATGTGCATGTCTATGTCGCCATAGGTTTTTTTACTTTTTAGTGAGCGAATGTGTGTGTATGTGTGTGCGCGCGTGTGTGTGTGCGCGCGTGTGTGTGTGTGTGTGTGTGTGTGTGTGTGTGTATGTGTACAAGTGTGCAGAGGTGTATGTGTGTGTACACGTGTGCGTGTATGCGTCAAGCAAGCAGTGACTGGCTTCACAGTTCACAAAGCGCAACACCACGAATACTGGAGCATTGGAGCATCGTGCACCTTGTGACCACTGTCGAAGTCGTTTATGATGTAGAGTTGTGACATACGTCCACTTCACTCCAACTGCACAGTGTGTGCATGGTTTGCTTGTCCGGTGAAGTTGAAATGTGTGTGTGCGCTCTTATATGTCTATGTCTGTGTGCAGGCTATTGTCGATTAGTCCGCGTGAGCGTCGGGTAGTGATCTGTGAATCACTGGTCTGTCCAGCCTATTTTCGGCAGGCCTTTGCTGAGACTCTGTTCAAGCACTTTGAGGTAACACCTGCCGTCCATCATTGTTCGTCTTCAGACATAGAAGTGCATGCTATACTTGTTTCTTTCTTTTTTGTCGTCGATGGCAGAACATTGGAAGCAGAACATTCGAACGTACATAACAGAAATCAGGACCGGACGGCAATGCATGAAACTCATTTTTGTCCACATGTCCACTCTTGGTGATCACTGCCATCCGTTGTTGGCCCAGACCCTCCGTTTTGTGAACTGGATTGTCACAAAGCAGTGCACTAGTACGGTGTTGCATGGGATACTTTTGGCAACTCAAAGTGAAGACACAGTTTATTTTTGTGTTGGTGGGTGAAGGGCTGAGGGATCGCACCACCCTGCACTGCTATCTGACGTCATGCATCCCGAAAATGGGATGACATCATTACACAAAGAGCTTATTGAAAGTACAAACTACCCAAGATTTTGACAGAACTCTACCAACCTGTTTCTGGTTGCAGTCCGGAACACTGTTTTCCATGCAGTGTGTCCTCCGTCTTGTGACATGCTGTCATCGTAGAACAAGAGAATCCTACTTGTAGAACCTATTTGAAATCAACACTTTTTCTAAGGAATGAAACTATATGAGCGGAAGTGTATAGAGAAAAGAAGCATCGAGCCCATGAAATGATTGAAAAAGCAATGCAGCGTACAGTGTACTATACACATACATGTACATGTACTGGTAGTGGATAGAAGCAGCTAGAGGGTGGTGATACAGGTATCACACATACTTGTAGTGGATAGATGGTGGTGATACCGTTATCACATGTACTTGACACAATCTTTATTAGGAAAATTGAAATAGAGATGTGAAAAACAAATAGATGGAGCAGCAATGCAATACAATGGCCAAAACTCAAGAATTCACTATCATGGGACATGACTGTACTGGTAATGGATAGATGGTGGTGATACCGTTATCACATGTACTTGTAATGGATAGATAGTGGTGATACCAGTAGTACACAACATGTATAATCACACTGTGCTGGATTCATTGCATTCACTTGTTTGTTTTCTCTGTGCGCCTTGCTTTGCTTTCTGTTTGCTTTGACTTTCTCCGCAGGCACCGTCCATCCTGTACCTGCCCAGCCAACAGTTGCCACTCTACACATTAGGCATACAGACTGCCATAGTTGTGGATGTTGGCAGCCAAGAAACTACTCTCATCCCAATATCCTCCTCCACTGTTGCTTACGTATGTTTGAGCTTGCCTACATATTTACAAGGGGTGTTTGCGTGCTGATGTTACACTTGTGGCAAGTGAAATCCGGACTGATGTGCACTTTCAGCGCCACAGTACGTGTAGTACTGATTGTGATTCGTAGGCATGGTGTGATGTGTCAGCTAATGTGATGAATCTGCTGGCAATTGGTGGATCGTGGAAGCACTAAATAGCAGGCTGAGTGGGCGTTAACATTGACTCTCAACAGTGCAAGCATAATGTGTGGCTTTTATCAGCCGTACTCCCTGAACACATTCAGCATGGTATGTATATTCTACGGTCTACATTAGTGGATTTTTTATAGTGACTTCTCATCTCATGGGAGTAGTACTGTGGATTTTTAGGTCTTGGTCTTTCCATACCGAGAGATCCAACTGCAATTGGGTACTTCACTTTGGTTGGGGGGGGGGGGGGCAAGATGGACAAGGGTGATCAGAGGAGCACCGCCATCATTATGTTACGGTTATTTAGAATGCTCTCTGCAACGCCTCCTGCACCACACAATCGGAATTGGCTGCGGGCTACACTTGCCGTTGCCTTACTTGCTGGTACTCAGTTGAAAGTAGTGATACAGCATCTCCTCTCTAACCTGTAATGTGTTTTGCTAGGAGGAGTGCAGCATGCTCTATGTATATGTGTATCTCATGCTGTCCACCCTACATGTAGTACACCAATACAGTGCCTAGTCCACCCTACATGTAGTACACCAATACAGTGCCTATTCGACGACCAGTTTGAGAGCCTTAACCCATTGCCGGTGGTAGCACTTTGTGGAAGGTATTCCTCTAGTTGGATGTTGGGATTCGGTGCCCTGTGCTGGAAATGCTATTCAACGGTGAGTTGCATGTGTATGGCTGCCATGGTCTTTTGTGGACTTTACTATCCAACAGGGTTGAAGGCATACCCTCAACTTGACGTGTTTAGTCATGTAAATGATTGTTTTCCATGCCTATGTCAATGTATGGAAATCATTCAAAAGCAAACTGATATGGTAACGTTCAGTGGCTTGTGACAGGTCGTTTGTACAGTCGAACTACCTTTAGTGGATACCTCTCAACAGCGGACACATCCATGGTCAAGCTTTTCTTTTTTTTCGTTTCTTTAAAAAATACTTTGAAGTACAATGCAACACCATATTGTGGAAAGTACACAACTATAAGAGACAAGAGGAGAGCTTTATAATAATAGAACATGGAGCCACATATGCCTGGCCCCACTGGTATCTGTACTCAAGTGGTCATGCTGCTGTATGCTTTTGCTTGCAATAGTGTGTGTGTGTGTGTCTGTCCGTCTGTGTGCCTGCCTATCTGTGTGTCTGTCCGGCTGTGTGTCCGTCCATATGTGTGTCTGCCTGGCTGTGTATCCGTCCGTATGTGTGTCTGTCTGGCTGTGTATCCGTCCGTATGTGTGTGTGTCCGTCCGTATGTGTGTGTGTGTGTGTGTGTGTGTGTGTGTGTGCGTGCCTGTGTGCCTGTGTACACGTGTGTGTCTCTATGTATGTGTGTGCGTGTGTGTGTGTGTGAGCGTGCGTGTGTGTGTGCATGCCTGAGTGTGTTTGTGTCTGTGTGTTCATGTTTAGGGCATGTGTATTAGGCCATGGTAAAAAATAAAGTTGATTCTCAGGTCATGAACCTGTGAAAATCGGTGCGAGCGAGCGATTTTTTATTTTAATTCCCACAATTTTTTTATTTCCAAAGATAGGGTCACACATGTGTACGTCACAGGTTCATAATTAATTTATAATTATTTTATTATTCAGGCCAGGAGTAGAAAAATACCGGTATTTTACTTCTCCCGGATTCATGCCTTTCGCATTGACCGTTTTCATGCACGCATATGCATGCATAGAAATAAAAAAAATCGTCGGTGCGCCGCCAAAAATCGGTGCGCACGTACTTGAGAATCAAAGATAATTTTTCCCATGGCCTTAAAGGCAATGAGTTTATGTATTTTAAAATGTTAATGTTTATTTTGTGTTTCCAGGAATGTTGCTAATCTGATGATGGAGAAGTGTATGGTAACTGATGCAGATGGTGTGAAGCCATTGCCAGCATCGAGAGGTAAGGTTCGTCGCTTATACATGTTAAATGCTCCTTTGGGACTTCTCTCTCACTCATTCACGTTCTCTCTCTCTCTCTCTCTCTCTCTCTCTCTCTCTCTCTCTCTCTCTCTCTCTCTCTCTCTCTCTCTCTCTCTCTCTCTCTCTCTCTCTCTCTCTCTCTCTCTCTCTCTCTCTCTCTCTCTCTCTCTCTCTCTCTCTCTCTCTCTCTCTCTCTCTCTCTCTCTCCCTCTCTCCATGTGCTACATTTTGGGGTTTTGCATGTCAGGTACACTACACTCTGAGAAATGTTTGCCACTACAATCATTGACACTGAGCTGTAGGGTGCTGCATTGGTACGCCTTGCAAGTAAAGAGGCATCTCATGTGTACGGGACAAAGGCATCATGATGTATGCAGGGCGGAGGTATCGTGTGTTCGGGACAAAGGCACCATCTATGCAGGGCGGAGGTATCGTGTGTACGGGACAAAGGCACCATGACGTATGCATGACAAAGGCAACTAGAGTATGCCTATGTTGAGTGCTGCAGAAGAAGGACTTCTTGTTTAACAAGCTTGCCTTTTGTAAAAGCATCTGCATGTATTTTTGTTCAAAATTGGTTGTCGGTTATGTACATGTACCGTAAAGTACCGTAAAGTACTGCCAGAGCGCGCCACCATCTCGTCTTTTCGTCGTATTGTGGAGGTGGTGTCCTGTCTGTAGGTCATACGACACCGACCGTGTACACACATTACACGGTGTGCAGTCAATCCGTACTCAATTTACCTTCGTGCGGACACGAGATCCACACTAAAACCTGCTAAGTGTGACCTTAGTACACTAAGGTTCTCACACCGTACAAACAAGTTCCTTCGTTGCACTCTACCATGCAGTTTTCCTTTCCCTGGCTGGCTGTAAAATAAAGGTGGGGCGCTCTCGCGAGACGGTACGCTCTGGCGGTACTACAATTCAAATGATGCTTTGACCGACAGTAGTGATGCGTAGAATGTTGGAAAGCGAAACCTTTTCTCGGTGTCTGTCTTGTGCATTGTTTCTGCTACAGATATGCTCAATTCAAAGGTTCTTGAAGACATCACTGGTGAGTTGATGTTGTTTTTCACTTACGAGGGACTCAGGGAGTGTTGTGTTTGCTGTTATGGGATAACAATGTGACATGAACAAACAAGCAGACTGAGGGTAAAAACAACAATGCTGGGAGTTCCAGTGTTGGTGAATGGCTATTCCTTCTGTACAAATATTCTCCCTGTAAGCATACGCTGTACTAGTATCTCCTTCAGCTCACTACTTGCCTCACTACTGTAGCAAGTACTTGAGTACTTTAGCAGTGTTTGTTTTTGAATGCGATGCTACACGTCTGTCTGCATCTTAGTTTACTTTATCATAGCAACTGTTACTTGTATATGAAAAAGAGTGCATGTACAAATAAAACTACTCCTGCACAATCAATGGACAATTGCTTAAAGGGGAAGTTAAGGCAAAAATTAAAATTTCACCAGTTGTAGTCTTCGGGGTGCTGAGTCGAATGGTCTTGGTCCGAGGAAGCTGAGACGCTTCCTTCCTACTTGAATCCCAATCGAACTCTCGCACTTCCACCGAAACTGGGTGACTGCGCCCTACTAGATGGGGATTTGTATGCAAAATGTCACTAAAAGCGCCATTTCGTTCTTATAAAAGCACGGATGACCGCGATTGGCCCATATGTTGTAGTCTTTTGGACGCTGAGTCGACTGGTTTTGGTCCGAAAAGGCTGCGAAGCAGCGTTCCTCCTTTATTCCCAATCGAACATGGTCGAACAAGTGGTCACGTGCTGCTGCGTACACCAGTCACCTGGTCACCGTGCCTGCAGGGTACAACTTACTAGCCTGTTTGACCTTTTTTGGGTGCAGTCCTGTCACTCGAGTTGAACTCGAGTTGAACCTTGGTGTGAAAGTTGTCGCCTGCTGGCGTGGTGACCAGGTGATTTGGGCACCCAGGAGCACGTGACCGCTTCTTCAACCATGTTCGATTGGGAATAAAGGAGGAACGCTGCATCGCAGCCTTTTCGGACCAAAACCAGTCGACTTAGCGTCCAAAAGACTACAACATATGGGCCAATCGCGGTCATCCGTGCTTTTATAAGAACGAAATGGCGCTTTTAGTGACATTTTGCATACAAATCCCCATCTAGTAGGGCGCAGTCACCCAGTTTCGGTGGAAGTGCACGAGTTCGATTGGGATTCAAGTAGGAAGGGAGCGTCTCAGCTTTCTCGGACCAAGACCATTCGACTCAGCACGCCGAAGACTACAACTGGTGAAATTTTAAATTTTGCCTTAACTTCCCCTTTAAATTTTAAAAACTAGATTATATTCGTTGCTGAGCTATACTGTAGCTGAAATAGTGACCTGTGATGAATACAGATACTCGTTGCACCACATGATAAGTGTACTAGTACTCGCTCCACTCACAGCATTATACACAGCTCACTATGCTACGCTCATCCTCTCAATGGTGAATGAACGTTCCTATGTTCAAATGCAAAGAAAAAGCTGTTCGCATGCACAAGCAAAGTTCCCCTTCCCTACATACGTAATGGCAGTTTGTGTTTGTGACTTTGTGTGCTCTCTCTCTCTCTCTGCTGCAGTGCGGACTTGCTTTGTGAGAGGATTATCTCCTGCAGACGCCACAAGCAGGTCAGTAATGAGAAGTATTGTGTACTTCGAATGTGGATTGACACTGCTGCTCTGGTAAAGGCAGTTGACAATCCTTCCTAAGTACCAAAATACATGTCATATGGCCTATTTCATAACTGGGCTTCTTTTGAACTCGGATAATGAGCCAGTATTAAATGTAAAATAGAAGAAGAAAAATCATGGGAACGAGTTATGAAGCAACTATCCACGACGGTAACAAGATAACGTTCTGACTGCTTATTATCTTGTTACAGTCGTGGATAGTTGCTTCATAACTCGTTCCCACGGGCTTCTTTTGTAATGCTTTTATTGGTCTGTGTTCTGAAAAGCGCTTTCACTCACCCCATGATTTATGGCCAAGTGATACTTTGCTTCGCAGTATAAGGCCCCGGTCACACCGAAACAAGCCACTTTGGGCTTGTTATCGCTGGCGCTTAGCTGGCTTGCGTGATCCCTGTGACGCGGTCACACCAGACCTTGAGTGCAAAGCTTGAATGGCTTGTTTTTCTTACCCGCCAAATTTTGAATATCTCGAAACACACCAAGAGCAGAACGTTCGCGATCTAAAACTGTACTTGTTCTAGTGTTCAGTTTTGATGAAGAAGCAAAGGAAGCCCGGATTCTGAATTGCGAAGTCGTGCTCTTTTTATTTGTTCGGTGTGCATGGACGCGATGCTTCGGGTGGTGTTTCCTGATGTCGAGCTTTCTGCCCCGCCGGTTGCCGTTATTGAACTCAGTTGCAATCCACTCTGTTCTTCATACCCGGCTTTCTTCATGAATTCGGTCGTGAGTGTGGTGCCTTGTCTTGGCCTCAAACCACAGCTCCAACAATCTACGCAGCAGTCTAGAGGCACAGCGGCAGAAATCCATGGTCGTCGGACAAAATCCAAATCAAACTGAATACAGTGTAGTTGGGGTAGACAGACTCACGGTCAAAACCAAAGGCACAGGGATAGCACGGTTCCCCGGACACAAGAAAGAACATCAATATCAGTTCATCATGTCAACTAGCTACATGGTGTGCTCTGGAGCTCCAAGCGCACTCAAATTATTTTTTGAATTTTGGCTTTCAGCCGCTTGTACAAGCTGTGGCTGAAACAAGCCGGAAAAAAACGGCTGAGAGTCAGCCACGGCTGAAAGTCGCTTGTAGGACATTTTTCAGCCATTTCCATGGTAATAGTGACGTAAACAAGCGCTTGTTTCGGCTGAAGGGCTGAATCGAGCTCGGTGTGACCGCGGCCTAAGAAAGTGCGAGAAATGTATGGTGACAATCATGCGTTCGGATGACGAAATTGAACTCAAATCAACTTATGTCGCTGCAATGGGCGTGCGGCTCCATTTTTCGTTCACGAATTGAGATCTCAATTAGCCTTTAGAGGACCATCCAATATGTCAACATATCAGATACCCCATCTGTTTTGGTGTGTTGTAGAAGGGATCAAGACATTGCCGTGTTTTCAGTTACCTGCATACCTTTTGCAATGCTCTTGCATACTAATTCTTTTGTTTTGTGTGTGTGCGCATGCGTGCGTGTGTGTGTGAATATGTACATACATGCATGTGTGTGTATGGGCGAAAACTCTCTCCTCCACTGCACATGCTGCTGCTGGTGGCACTATGCCCTATTTGCTATTCTCACAGCAGTCCAACAGTAAGATTTTGTTTTCTGTTGCTCTCTCTCTCTCTCTCTCTCTCTCTCTCTCTCTCTCTCTCTCTCTCTCTCTCTCTCTCTCTCTCTCCCCAATCCTTAGTGCTGTGCGACCTGTATGATATTGATCGAATGTGGTTCATGTTGCATACATGCCAACCTGGAGGCTTGAGTTCCCTGGACGACGAGGCTGAATTCCCTTGATTTTGACCGTTTTCCCTGAACGCCCATTTTTTAGCGCATCCATCATTAGCAGATGTATTTTTCATGACTGCTGCTCAAGCAAAAGGGATGTCATTGCATTGAGCTGTAACTGCACAAGCAAACTTTCTGTTGACTACTATACCGGTGATCCGTTGCAGTTCCGTACGGTTTTTTGTCCACTACGTGCTGTATGTACTTACAACGGATCTACAAGTTCGAGGAAACACTGAAAAAGCGTCAAAAAAGGAGAACTTCGATTTCATAAATTCCATCTCAATCCCTGGACTTTCGCAGGACATCCCTGGACCCCGGGACAAACACCCTATTCCCTGGACTGTCCCCAGAAACCCTAGACGGTTGGCATGTATGCGTTGTTGTGGATCCGCCGCTAATTCTGTTGCAGTAAATTTAATTGCTTGGAACTAGCATGCTATAGTGAGAGGTGCGTGTTGTTGACTGGGAGCCTAGAGCAGTTGTATGTTTGATCTCTATTCTTGTCTGTATTTGTCATGGTTAGGCTGCACCGGCCGATCAACAACAAACACTGCCTGTCAACTATCCAGTTGATGATGACACAACTATCATTATTGATGGACATGTGCGGTAAGCTTGAATGTTATCATATACTATGCATATTTCATGATTTCCTTGCTGCAAGGAGCTTGCAGAAACACATGCAGTTGGGCTCTCCAAACATCGTTTCCCTGCCGGCATTTAGATATGCTGCTTCGGCTGCTGCTGCCCTATCTCCTTACTTATTCTTGCAGCTCCTGTGCGGCTGATGTCATGTTTGTGGATGACACCGATGGCATGTGTCTTCCTCGCTCTATCCTCAGTGCCATTGCCAAGGTGAGTTTCTTGCTTGCCTGTTTGTCCGTTACTGTTGACTGCAACAATCCCATCGTCCACTTAAGTTTACGGTTAGAGATCTGACTAGAATGCAGTATGCTTAGCAGTGGCAACACCACCAGTCCAAGTTCCGGGCTTGTCCACCTCAAAGCTCATTTTGAGTGCATGCCCACCTGGATGCTGAACTGGACCTTCACTGGGCCTTCAGCAGTTTAGGCTCCTTGCTGTGCAGCTGAAGAGATACAGGCGTTCGGAAACCAAACAAGAAACAGCCAAAAGTGCACAACTATTGTTTAATTTGCCACAATTCATGTATGGGATACCAGTCTGTCCCTCGACAAAACTCGAAGCAGTCGTCCTGCTCAGCTCAATCAGTTCCGGGCACTCATTGTTGGTGTAGGGTCTTCTTCTACACCTACCTGAGAACTCAATGTCAAAAATGAAATTTGGAGTGCCCCTTCAAGTCCAGTGCAGATGTTTCCAGAGGCAAATATCAACTCCCCAGTAAATATGGGAAATTGTGGGCACAAGTTATGCGATCCTTGGCTCACCATCTGAGTTCCCCAGTAGATAATAATAATATATTCTACTTCGAAGTACATGTATTATTATATATCGACAAGGCCAGAGTCTTGTTTAGTGCAGGTGAATGTGGACGCAGTGTAGAATGCAAGTGAAGAATCAGACTTGAGGATTCCTCATGGAAAAATCTCCAGTTCGTACTAGGCTTGAAATGCACCTGTAGCTTTTCTTCAATATTTCCCGGCACTCATAGTCCATGCTGGTATGCTGCTGTTTTACCTTGCTGTAGGCACCCATCGACTGCCGAAAGCTGCTGGCAGAAAACCTGGTCATAGTTGGTGGTGCATCTGAAATGCCAGGATTCAGGTACTGTGTTCATTGTACTCGCTTGCACTTACAATAGCATTGTACTCGCCACGTTACAATAGCATTGTACTCGCCACGTTACAATAGCACACACTACAGCAGTACATGTAGAGTAAAACCTACCCTACCCGGACGACACCCTTGCCTTGGTGCAGGGACACCCTTGCCTTGGTGCAGGGACACCCTTGCCTTGGTGCAGGGACACCCTTGCCTTGGTGCAGGGACACCCTTGCCTTGGTGCAGCCGAGGCTGTCCTCATATGACAGGATTCCGCTTGATCCAGGGATGCACGCTCGATCCACAGCACCTTGGTGCATGCAATTTGTTTACGGGCAATACAGGAACCTGCATCATGAATGTAATTCCTCGCACCTTGAGAATGACGTTCCATCAGATGTCTGGGCAGCGATCTGAAGGATTTCAGATGCCTTGCGAGGCCAGTCGCCTACAGGTCCAAGTAAATAACCTTTTTTAGAGCAGAAGTGCTCACTGGTTTGTCCATAGATGGAGGAATCAGAGGATCTGGGATCTTCTCTGTGTCCGAATCAGAACTGGAAGCGCAGGATGAGGCATATGTAGTGCCTTCTCGAAGCTCAGACACAGTGTGCGTATACCCACTTGATTCACGAAGCTGACACCGCCAAGGGTTTGATGATCTTGCCGCAACGCTGTCACCTCCGACCATCTAGCCGCATTCCCGCACGAGGGACTATTCCCACCGAAGACGCAACATCTTACAACTTGTAACTGTTAGTTGGATAATTTTCTACTCACTTTATTGAATTTCCTATTGACTGCTTCTTGTTTGCTTGTGTACATGTACACGTTTCAGGCACCGGCTGTTGGCAGAGTTGAAGGCATGGTTGGGAAAGCCTGAGTTCTCACAACTCAGTATCAAACAGTTCAAGATGCACCAGAATCTTGTACCTGCAAACACCATGTGCTGGGTTGGAGGTAAGCTCAATGTACTTGCAACTATTACTTGTATATGTATAAGGGATGATTGTAGTGTAAAAGAAGATTATACTGTATAAGTGGAAAGTTTTGTTTGGAATTTACTTTCGCTATATTCATTAGGGGGCACGAAATAACTAAAGTGTGCACCAAGCGCGATCGCGCGAATCGTTTTCGAATTTCACGTGAAGTTTGGAGGACCCCACTTAGTGCCTGCACGGCGAACTTCGATCCCTGGACCCTTCTGAACGTTCGGGCTGACAGACCTCGACCAAAAACGAAATTTAGTACGTAACGAACCTGCTGGTGGAGTGATCTAACGAAAGATTTCGTAAATGAAAGTTGTACTTATACAGTACAGGACACAGCAGTACACATGGTTTGTGTTCTTTGCTCTGGCTAAATAGTGCCTGGTTCACGGCTGACGCAACATAGATGATACGGGACGTACTAGTAGTATTGTGGTGGGACGACCAGGGTGAACTGTAGATGTTGTGCAATTTGTACAACATATTCTAAACCCAACTGAAGACTCTGTGTTTGTATTTTGTTTGTATCATCTTACATGCACAGCGTCTATTTACTCAGCAACTGGCGTGCTAAAAGAACGTTCTCTTTCCAAGGACACATACGCTGAGAAAGGTGGCAAGTTGCCTGACTGGACATCTTGTGACCCAGATCTCAATGCTGCTGATGCACTCAGCTGGCAGAAGAAACGCTCCATTTACTCCCTGCCGGTCAGCAAAGCATCAGCTCCATCCTCCGTAGCTCATACGGTTTCGTAAGCTAGCGCTTGCCTGTAGTTCGGAAAACAATAATCCTTGATCTATTCACCAAACGTCTGTATATATATTTTTAGTTAGGTGAATGTTTGCAGCTGGTCCTGCAAACAAAGTTACATTGCGCTGAACAAACTGGCAGTACACTCTCCTTACTCCTCTGAGTCTCTGTAGCAAAGCTCACTGTCTGTCGATATTCTGGCTGATGCTTGTTGCGTGATTGTATAGTAGCTGTATTTATAGTACCCACACATGTATACTGGGCATTTGAACTCTTCTTGCTTTGCTCTTGCTTCTACTTGGTTGTAACTTGTAAGTTACTGTGAACACAGCTTTGTTTGGGAAATTTGTAGCACGTTCTTGCCACTAGCACTGTGATGATCAAAAGTCTTATCCAGTACACACCCTCCCCATCCCATGAACATATCCATCATAGTACGTATACGCACTCCTCACCCCATGAACATATTCCTTATTGCCGAATCATGAAATCTTGAGTATCGGGTATTATTTTCAAAGCTGCATCATGCAAGCTTTGCCATCCTAGCATCATCATGGAACACATTCACAGCTTGTCTCTTTTTGTTTCGTTCTATATTTCTGTTATCAAACAAATCATTTTCTCCTCTTATAATGACATTGTTTTCTCTACATTGCTAATCTCTGCTTCCACTGACCAAGCTGCGCTGTAAAAAGTGTTAGAACATGAATGGATATTCATTATTGAATATTGATTCAAAATGTTGTAAACGGCATGATGCTGGCGATGACATGGCACGTAACCTCTCAGAGCCCAGAGCCACGGGTTATCACGGTTCTTTGGCAATGGCGATATAGCCGGGTTACCAGGGCAAGTAGTTGAAGTAGTTGCACTGTCTGTTGCAATCTGTGTGTCTTCTTGTGAACAAGAGCGTGGCAGAATAATCCGTTGTAGTTGTGGTACCTTGCATGAACCAGCATGGTCTAGCCCATTGCACTACGGGGCCGAAAACCGGGAGTACCGCGTACATCATGGCCTTGTTCCCTACATGTATGTACTGTAGAAGCCATTATTCTAACGAGGCGCATATACAACGATTTCTACGTACCGGTAGATCTCCCTCTCCAGGTACAACATATACATGTGCATTATTATGTAGGCTTGGTATGGTATGCACATACATGTGACAAAATGCACATAAAATCAGTTTACATGTACCAAGAGTACATAGGGGGTTATGTACTCTTGCATGTACCAAGCTGCATGACAAAAACTCAAAACACCCCGGCCCCCATCCGGGGAATTCCCTCTTCGTCATGACTGTAATTTTTTTGTAAAGCTCGTTTCTGCTTCCTTTTCATTGTTTAATCTTCTTCAAACTTTTGAAAGACGAAGGACGTACCTGAGTGCTGACCAGTCGTAGCTGTTTGTCTTGCTGGATAACACCCAGAAGTAGTTCAGGCAACGTTGCACCATGAGTCATACACAATTGAGCAGTGCGGCGTCGAAGCTGGTCCGTCTTCTTCAGACATCGACTGGACGTCAGGTTCGTCATACACGTAGATTGCTGGCTGAAATTCTACTTTCTCAAGTTGAAATGAATTGATATTGTAACTTCAATATGTTTGGCTACTTCAGGCTGTATGTAAGCCGACACAGTACTTGAAGAACACAGTCCAACAGTACACGATGCTGGAGAGTAGTGCTGCTATTCAAGATGCCACTCGCACTTGTCTAGCATACTCAACTATGCTAGATGCTGTGAAGGAGCAACAGGTAGGCCTTGCATACTGTAATTACTTTACTGAAAATTAGATGCCATGCAGTCGTATACAGTAGTATTGATTCCACAATTTCGATGACTTACATGTTGACAACCTCAAGGAAGCATACAGCCTGCCGGAAAGTATAACGTACCCAGGCCAATCAGACCAAAGTAGGATGACATCAGGGCCCTTCATGCCCTCCCCCCCCCCCCCCCCCCTAGCTTGTTCAATCCTAAACGAGTTGATACCAATTCTTCATCATGGCTATTTACCATACCAACTGGTGTCAATTATGTCATACTTCCACTCTCAGGACGGAATGCCGCTGCGCTCATGCTGCACACAATTGCCCTAGCATACCATGCATCTCCAGTTCAGATTCGCGACCATGCCGGCTATATATGTCTCTCACGCACCAACGTTATCCAGGATAGGCAGGGGCGTAGCACCCGCTACGACTGGTACGACCATGGCTGTACCACTTTTCGAAAACTTTCAACTCAGTGACGTGACAGTAAAAGTGGGGTCCGTCTGGAACGTGCAAAACCGTAATAAAAAACGGGATCCGTCAGATCTTTGACTTTTGTTTGAGTTTGACTCATACTTGACTCAGCACGGCTATTAGGTACACTTGATTCATGGCAACTTAGTTTTCTGCACGTGAACCATAAAATTCTATGACTAAAAATTCGCAAAAAAATGTGCTAAAAGTACCCAGAACACAGGATTTCGTGTCTTTTTTTTACAAAATTTTCCCGCGGGGAGGACCCCGTCACAGCCCGCTCCGTCCTTTGGTCGTACCAGTTCCCAAGCCCCTTCTACGCCCCAGATAGGGTATGTAGCGTGAATGAATTCCCAGTTGATGCCTGAACCTTGTCACCACGTAATCAATATAGTCAGTCATCAGCCACTGGCCTATTCCCACACACCATCATTAACAAAGCAAGTGGTCTCTTTGCTGCGAATTTCTATCATCTCAATCAAATTTTCGGCCAGGAGCCATCACCAGGGGATGTGCACAGCGATACTATTAACCCCTTGCTTTGTTTGTTGGGGTTGAGCAACAGCTACACCTCATGTAGCCAGTGCCAGTGGCACTATGCTCTCATGAAAGAAGCAACCTACCTATAGAGAGACAGTCATAGATTTAGCACGTATTGTCTTTGTGGGAATTAGACACAGTCATCATTACTTGTCACTCTACCCCCCACGACAGAACATGAAGAAAGTAAAAAGCTGAGGTGATTTTTCTTGTGTAAAGCACCCAGTCGAAAACCGAAACATCAACATTCCCACCCCGCATCCTTTTAAAGGGGAAGTTAAGGCAAAAATTAAAATGTCACAAGTTGTAGTCTTCGGGGTGCTGAGTCAAATGGTCTTGGTCCGAGAAAGCTGAGACGCTCCCTTCCTACTTGAATCCCAATCGAACTCGCGCACTTCCACCGAAACTGGGTGACTGCGCCCTACTAGATGGGGATTTGTATGCAAAATGTCACTAAAAGCGCCATTTCGTTCTTATAAAAGCACAGATGACCGCGATTGGCCCATATGTTGTAGTCTTTTGGACGCCGAGTCGACTGGTTTTGGTCCGAAAAGGCTGCGATGCAGCGTTCCTCCTTTATTCCCAATCGAACATGGTTGAACAAGCGGTCACGTGCTCCTGGGTGCCCAAATCACCTGGTCACCACGCCAGCAGGCGACAACTTTCACACGAAGGTTCAACTCGAGTGACAGGACTGCACCCAAAAAAAGTCAAACAGGCTAGTAAGTTGTACCCTGCAGGCACGGTGACCAGGTGACTGGCGTACGCAGGAGCACGTGACCGCTTGTTCAACCATGTTCGATTGGGAATATAGGAGGAACGCTGCATCGCAGCCTTTTCGGACCAAAACCAGTCGACCCAGCGTCCTAAAGACTACAACATATGGGCCAATCGCGGTCATCCGTGCTTTTATAAGAACGAAATGGCGCTTTTAGTGACATTTTGCATACAAATCCCCATCTAGTAGGGCGCAGTCACCTAGTTTCGGTGGAAGTGTGCGAGTTCGATTGGGATTCAAGTAGGAAGGGAGCGTCTCAGCTTCCTCGGACCACGACCATTCGACTCAGCACCTCGAAGACTACAACTGGTGAAATTTTAATTTTTGCCTTAACTTCCCCTTTAACAATGTCTCATTTCAGCGCTAATTTTACCTAAGATCTTAGCCATGTAAGTTGAAGTACAGGTAGTGCAGCTTCACTTAGCCAGTTTAATATTTCTGGAAAGAGCATGATTTTGTTATGCTTGTCTGGCACAGCTGAGCTATCTTTGAGCAGGACCTATCTGTCTCTCTCTCTCTCTCTCTCTCTCTCTCTCTCTCTCTCTCTCTCTCTCTCTCTCTCTCTCTCTCTCTCTCTCTCTCTCTCTCTCTCTCTCTCTCTCTCTCTCTCTCTCTCTCTCTCTCTCTCTCGCTCTCTCTCGCTCTCTCTCGCTCTCTCTCTCTCTCTCTCTCTCTCTCTCTCTCTCTCTCTCTCTTTCCCGCACTCCATTTGTTCACCCATTCATTGTCGTTTCCTTAGGAGTTGGATGAGAAGTATGGCAAGGGCGAGCAGTCGATAAAGGCTAGTGCGCATCGCGTTGGTTTGGAGTTGCCTAAGGCGTATGAGGAGAGTGCACCTAGTGATGCCAGTGCTAACAATACTAGTGACTCGTCAAGCAGTAAGACTGGAGAGACATGAGCCATTCGGCCATCGTTGTTCACTGTAAAGGTACAATGCGTGGTGTTAGTCAGAGGAACAGTGCTGCACTGGTGTGACCAAGCAGATGGAACCCGGCCTTGCATACCAGACTGATCATGCTCGTTCACGGAGGTACTGTGCGATCAGGACTGCTGCCTTGCTCACAGTAAGTGCTGTGTGCTTGCTGTGTCTGTGTTGTCACCGCGTGGTGCTGTTTCCAATGTGCTGATCTGTGCGCACAAGCACACTGTACAACAGCATTACTATCCTCTGGCGTATCAGGTGTGTGCATGCAACAGCCCAACACAGTACACTACTGTACATCACCCTGCTGGACATGTAGTAGTACTAGTAGGTCAGTGAAGAAATACTGCTCATGAGTGGTGTACTTTGAAGATGGTCCAGAACTCACTGTGCTAGTCAAGACACCAGTGCTGTCATGTACATACCTTTGTCATTGGTCATGGTTCAGCAGTGCTCAACTACTTGCCCTGGTAGACCTCCCAGTGAGGCTGTTGACTTAGATTTGTTCAGTGCAGTGAATGCCCCGACTGCAGTGCACACTGCATGAAATAGTCAGTTTTGCAAGTACCACCAGTAACTTACTTTATTCTATTTATCACCAGCCTTGTTGGCTGTCAATACTCTGCTGTTGCTGCTGCTGGCTGCAATTCAGAACTGCGTCCTTGATTTAGCTGTTGTTGCAGCAAGCTCCGGAGGGGATATGTTCTTTTAAAAATCTATCCCCTTGAGCAGAATTTCACTGATAGGTCACTTATCCGCGAAATGGGTGGTGCGTCTGCTTGGGGAGAGAATGGGCCCAGTCACGCCTCTTACAGCACCATTACAGTATGATTGTTCACATTCGTAAATCACAGAGGACGCTTGAAAGAACTAGGTACTTCAAGGGAAAAGACGGTGTTGAAATGATTCAATATTATAAGATGCCGCATAAAAGCATGTCAAATAATTCTCAAGAACAGCGCTGCTCAATGGAAAATCTTGATGCTTCGAGCCCTACACCAGTTCCAATCGCATGCTTGATTTCATTGAGCAGCATTTTACATTATCATTAGCACAGATTGCACACATTTGGCTGGTTGTAGACCTAGGTGTGTATACCTCAACTAATGTACACTCAAGTGATTACCGTTGGTAAGCAATACATAATTCTAAAGTGCTGTTGGCGGTGCTGTCATAAAAAATATATAAAAATTCACGGTTCGCATCCGCCGTGGGAACGCCACCACCCTCTAGGATCAAAGGCGCAGAGATGCTGTCATACACATTGTCAAACTAAGGGCTACAGCAGTGAGGAGCACAAGCAAGTAGTGCCACATCACATGGGCTATTCCAGCTACATCAGTACATGTGTGACGTTGGATGGGAGATAATGCGGAGGCTATGTGAGCGGCATCATTGAATACGTTTTGTGTGGAGTGGCACACCTGTGCTTGTAGTGCTACACCACACAAAACGCCTCCATTGATGACAACATTGCTGCTGCTGCTGCTCGCATTGGCGCTGTATTTGGTCACTGATAGCCATCAGCACTATTATAGCCCTCGCTGGACCCGTTGATGTTGCTGCTTCGGCCGACAAGACGCCCGGCTGTACTGTAAGCGTAGTCAGAGGTGGAAGAATCCGGTTCAGGCCTGCCTGTGTGAATGCCTATAGTTGGCATGGTCACCACATCTGCTGTGTCCAATGACATGCTGCCATAACTAGCCGAGGACTCCTTCCGGGCCACAAGGATAGCTGGTGGCTTGGCATGTAGTTCTTCTGTGTACTCGGGTGGTTGTAACTCCTGCGGGTACTTTTCTTGTGGCATTAGCCCAACTGTATTTGCTCCAGGAATGGGTGAAATTGCCTTTTCTCCAGGGACAGGTGAACCTGCCTTTTCTCCAGGGATAGGTGCAACTACCTTTGTTGCAGGAGTAGTAGGAGGTGAAGAAGCAGCAATTCCAGCACTCATAGCTTGCTTGATGGCCATTTCTGTCTCCACTTTGGACCGATCGAGTTGGACCATGCGGGTCTTGACGGCGGCAGCTGTCAGCCTTGCACCACAATCCTTCTCCCAGCAATCATTCAGTACATTTGCTAAGACACCCAATTCCTACAATGCAGAACACATGTGCATGTGCGTGCACACACACACACAGGGGGGGGGGGGGGGGGGGGGGGAAGACGTCAACATCTACCAATATGTTCGGCTGGGAGACCCCCAGTGCAGCCAAAGTGAGTACCAGTCCGAGGGTTATGGTGGCTGTGTTGCTAACACTAGATGAAAGGAAACACAGGTAATAGGGAGGTTTGGCTCAACGTAACTACGTACGAAATCCTCTGTCGTACGCGCCAGGGAGGGAGGGCAACTTTCATACGTAAAGCTCTACGGATTTCCGTTGCAAGCGCTTTCCTATGTTCAGTCCTGCGTAGGAGTTTTTGAAATATTTTTCCGCAATTTCCTGATTTACCCATGGCAAAGTTCAAGCCGTACGAAATACAAGGTGCACAGCACGTGGACAACTACTGTACTAGTAAATGGAGAACATGGTCTAGGTTCGTGGGCGCATGCAGCTGACGCATCTCCAACGTAACAAGCTACTACATGTACGAACAACGTGCAGTGACTGGATTCCACAAGACGTATGATCCCCAGTCAGCATGCACCTTCCGACAATCTACAATTGCATGAGCAGTAGCTGATTCTTGCTACTCATAAAGTGTTTCCTCAAAATAATAATTCTGCCATGGCTGTAGATCATGGCATTGCATTGCATGGGGTGGGACAATACAAACATGGCATTGCATTCCATGGGGTGGGACAATACAAACATGGCATTGCATTCCATGGGGTGGGACAATACAAACATGGCATTGCATGGGGTGGGACAATACAAACATGGCATTGCATGGGGTGGGACAATACAAACATGGCATTGCATGGGGTGGGGCAATACAAACATGGCATTGCATGGGGTGGGGCAATACAAACATGGCATTGCATGGGGCGGGGCAATACAAACGTGGCATTGAATTACACAGGGTAGGTACATGGCGTAGCGTACCTTTACTGATCTCATTGCCATCTCCCATCCTCTCGGCAGAGACGGTCGCTTTTCTTGGCGGATGACGAATTCTTCCATAGCTCGAATGGTTGGCTGGTCACCCACATAGGTCCAGTAAGGCAGTTCGTGACGTGATTTGTCCTGGCTGCCATCTGTTTCAATATGCACAGCAGGAATAGTGATAGTATCAAATACTGTGCTTTGCATGTACATGTGAAATTTTCACTACACCTACACGCAATGCTCAGTAACACACATAGTACAACACTGTGCAGCACGTTTACACACATTGTACAACACTGTGCAGCACATCTACACGCAATGCTCAGTAACACACATAGTACAACACTGTGCAACACTGTGCAGCACGTTTACAAGTATATTGTACGTTCAGCCGTACACCATGGGGAATACATGTACTACTTGAAGTAGTACTTCCAGAAGTAGTTACAGCTTATGCTACCGGGTAAGCGAGTAGGTAGTGGCACAGTAGTCATGCAGAAGATATGGGCAGATGTGGGATGAGCACGTGTATCGAATATTCACTGGTTGAGGGTTTATGATCATACATTGGAATAACAGTTGCTTACCCACTGCAAAGTCACAGCATCCAGCACTGATCTCCCACAGCAACAGACCAAGCGAATATATGTCAGCCTCCAGAAACGAGATGTCCTCGTCGAAGTTCATGCAAGAAGCAAGGCACTCTGGTGCCATATAGCGCGGAGTCCCAACCTGCAGCAGGAGCAGCAGCATTTCATTGATGCAGCGTAAGACCAATGATGGATACCAGGTACTGTCTTTACCTCATGAGCAGCTCGCCTTTGCACTAGTCATATCCCCAATTCACTTCGCCTGATCTTGGGCACCCCGTAAGAAGACCTTAGGGTCTGTTGGGAATGCCCAAGTAAAAATAATAAAATACAATTTTCGCTGTCGTACACACACTGAGCCACGGAAGAAATCACACATACTAATGAGTAATGACATAATGTCAGTACCTGGTGTTGCCGCTGTGCTTTGTCCATTTCTGGCACGAACGCAATCGCCAGATTGAAGTCGGCCAGAATACATCTGGGCTGTGGGGTGTCCTTGATGAGTATGTTGGTACTCTTGAGATCGCGGTGTGCAATCTGTGGCTTCAATCCAGAATCATCATGCAAATAGTCTACGCCGTCACTCAGTGACAGCATCAAGTCTGCACACTCATTCCATGACAAGGGATTGTCTTTCAGGTATTTGTACAGAGAGCCTCGCTGGTAGTAATCGGTCACTAGCCATAGCTCCTTGCAGCTACCAGCAGCCAGTCGCTCTTCACCAAACTGGAACCTGGAGAACACATGTACAGGCAGGCCTGTCAGCATCTCCCCACACTATGGAGCCTGGACCACTGATGGTAGTGTGGATGAAATCACACCTGCACGATAGTGGATAAGTTCACCTACAATGGATCCACAATGCGCTCTCTCGTAGCTACGCAACACACACACACTGTTCTATAAACTCTCTCTCTCACACACACACACACACACACACACACACACACACACACACACACACACACACACACACTTGTACACACACACACACACACACTTGTACACACACACACACACACACACACTCTCTCTCTCTCTCTCTCTCTCTCTCTCTCTCTCTCTTTCTCAACAAAGGGAGAGAGTTGAGATTTGTTGAAAGAGTGTGGCAGCTAAAGAAGAGTGTTTCGGTTGACCTAGCGGGCCTAGTGGGTGAAGAAGGTAAATTACTGTACAGGCAGAAAATTTCGTCCAACTCCAAAGAAAGGGAGTTTGTCCGGCTGTAAATTTCGTCCATGGATCATAAGAGTGCATTGAAAAGCTGGACAAATCGACATTCGTCCGGCATTTAATTTAGTCCAAAAGCTCCTTGGACGAAAAAGACGAAATTAAATTCCAGACGAATATTTCTGCTTATACAGTACGTATTTTCTAGCCAGTACTGTGACATACTATGATTTTTCAAGCCAACATGTTCACGCCATAAATTAAAATGTTATCCAAAAACAAGTAGTGTCCCACCGACCTGATGATTGTGGAATGACGCATGTAGCTATTTGACAGCAAGGAACATTCACTGCTCCATCCCGCCTTGTTCTTCTCATTAGTGACCTTGACCACTACCTGCTCCCCGGCATCATCTTGACCCAGGTGTGCCATACCAAAGCGACCTCGAGCAAGGTAACGTATCAGTTTGATATTGCGTGGCTCGCCATACACCATCATCTCAACGGACTCCGGAGCCTGCAGTGTCTTCTTGTACATTGCTCTGCGCTGTTTGTAACGGCAGACCAGAATGACGGCCAGAATGCCACTGAAGATGCCCAGAACGGCGCCAATGCTGATTGCAGCTGGTATAGCAAATGGTGATGACTGATCTGCACACAAGCGCGTATGAGCAAAAAGTAACAAAAATAACTTTTGTCCTATACAAGACACTGCTATGAAAATACATGTACCGATAATACAATACAGTAGCCCAGGATTATGATATCAAACAGTTTTAGAATAACACGCCCGCCCTGAAGTAAAACTTTAGGGACACCATTGCCTTATATGTAAGACTGCACACACAGTGTACCTGCCCTGCGTGAATGCACAAGCAAAGAAGAATATAAACGGAATGGCTGGAATCCTGAAAATAAGACGAGCACCGGCCTCAAGCAAGGATTAATTTGCAAGGAGGATGCGGAAAGGGATCAACTGCCACGAGATGAGCCGACGAAGAAGCTGTGCTTACAAACAAGTTGATGGCACTGACTGCACTTGCACACTGCTGCACAGTACCTGTACAGTTTCTGCACACACAACTATAATAAGTAGTGCACACATGTCCCAGAAGGTCACTCACTGCGCACACACTCAACCGCGAGTGTTCACCATGATACCAAGAGTATACAAGAGTGTGCAACTCCTGATACCCTTTCTATAGGGTTGGCTGACGGCAAAAACTCCCATCAAGTGGTGTAGTGTCCCAGTTGTACGTCTCCAGCCCGTTTTTAGCGAGCAGTGGAGTAATAATAAAAGCACTTCCTTGCAGAATCTCACTGCGCGTATGCAATTCGCTAGCATACTCAAGGCAGATTTTTGGATTGCGCGCACGCTATCCTTAGTTGTACGTAGTGCAAAACGTACCCGAGACACGTGATGCGAGTTTTCGCTGTCGAGACCCCATATGCAGAGTTGCACACTCTTGGGGGCTTTTATACTCTTGGTGACACAAACAGAGTGACCCACAGCAGCCTGGAAAAGGGATCTTGGTGCAACACTTCTTGGGCCCCTTGCAGAAAGATAATAATTGTGTTGCCAGTCTGGTATTCACAAGCAATCTTTCCTTTCTTTCTTACCCACAATATTGACCTCCACTTCAACAGTTGATGAGAATCTTGCACTGCAGTTTGCTCCGATACATGTACACCTCTGATAGAGAAACTGGTCAAAGTGTACCCGACCATCTCTCTCCCAGTCCACCACATCAGTACACGGAGTCTTGTTGAAGAGATCTTCACACCTCTCTACCGATGCATGGACTTTGAAGTACTCGTAAGTCGAGCAGTTGATGATGTGCGACGGCTCCAGTACTACCTGGAAGCGTCCATCAGCATGGCGCTTGACACCCCAACCAAGCCGGCAGCTGAAAGCACAGGTTGGAGAATGCAAGCACAACAGAACAGAACAGTTGTATGCCGAAAAGCAGAAAATTACGTTCAAATGACTTCGTCCAACTCCGAAGAATGCCAGTCGGCTGGTTGGAATTTTCGTCAATGGTTGTTGAAAAGTCTACTGAAAAGCTAGACACTCGGATGGTGAGCCAATTAAATTATGGTGAAAAAGGAAAAGGACAAAATGCTACGAGTTATGACTAATTGTCCACCAACGTAACCAGATCTTATACAGTCAGCGAGTGCGACAAAATGGCACAAAACTGACTAGGAGTACTGAGACATTCGGCGACCTGACACCTAGCTCCAACACTTCTCCAAGGCGCAAACCAACAACCTTCCAACTTGGAAGGCTCAGGTTCGGAAAGGTCCAAGAGGAGAAGGAAAGCGCAACGAAGAAGAGCTTTCGTTGCGCACGAGCTACGCCCCACGGCAACAAAGAATGCCGAAAGTTACTGGATGATGACGAAACTAGTAAGACTATTGGACATACCGGCCTTACTACAACTCGACGACGCAACACAAAAGACCACCCAACTTGGGAGTTGGAAGGCTGCTGGTTTGCGCCTTGGAGAAGTGTTGGAGCTAGGTGTCAAGTCGCCGAATGTCTCAGTACTCCTTGTCAGTTTTGTGCCATTTTGTCACACTCGCTGACTGTATTAGATCTGGTTACGTTAGTGGACAGTTAGTCATAACTCGTAACATTTTGTCCTTATCCTTTTTCACCAAAATCTAGACAATAAGACATTTAGACCGGCAACAAATTTCTAAAATGTGGGTTAAAGTTACAGTCACGTACTGTATTCTACCCAGGCTTTCGATCAGGTCATGCACCACCCACTCAAACATAACAGGGTCAAAATACGACAGGACTAATTTTGTGGCGGCAGAACAGCAAAAAAGAGATTCAGGGAGAGAAGTGAAGAGAGAGAGAGAGAGAGAGAGAGAGAGAGAGAGAGAGAGGGGGGGGGGGGGGGGGTAGAAGATACGCATTTGCATGTGCATACCATGGTTGAGCAGCCATAACTCCATTGTTGCATAATCACTACGTTGTGCAGTAGTTGCAAGCTATGAAGATAAGCATAGTATACGATACCGAGTGGAATCATCAACCATTGCGGCCTATTGTTCACCGAGACAGAGATGAAGCGGCACGGTAGACACGTGTATGTAACCATTGCCCATTGTTCACCGAGACAGAGAGATGGAGCGGCACGGTAGACACGTGTATGGTGTATGGTGTACTTACTGAATTCCAGGACAGGTTTCATAAAGAGTTGGTGTGAACGAACACCTGATGTGACCGCTTCCACTTGATGTCTTATGATCTTCTAAGACGCAGTTGTCTGTGATGTCCATCTCGTTCAGTATCCTTGGACATACAGTCTCTGTGCCTTCGGGAACCAGGTCATCTGTGATCAAACAGCCACCACTGACACCAGTACCTGCGAGTGTCACTAAAACAAGAGCTGTAGCAGCTGTGTAACACACACATCGATACACAAACACACATAGCAGTGATAGAATCAGTGCTCACAAGACTGTCTAGTTTTAATCACACACGTCACTGCTGTAGAACCAAACATTTAACATCATTCAAGCTTAACGATCTCCGGATTTTTTGTTAGTTAGCAATGCTCACACCAATCAGTGGTCGACACTGGGCCAAATGGCTAGCCAACACCACATCATCGTAACTCATTGTGGGAGAAGCACTCACTCTGTAGATGTGTACGTGTTCATGAACTACAATGTAACTAGGACGTTGTGTGATAGTGACAGTCAGAGACACTACATTGGTGTCAGAAGTCTTCGCATTCCCCGCGACCTTCCGCTCGCATTTGTCGTCCCCCGATAGTTCCTTTCGTATTCTACTCTCGTGTGTTCACTCCTCTTTGTATCCGTCCCTATGGCTCAACAGCAACAACAAGCCCAACAGCCACAGGCACAGGCTGCACCTGCTCCCGCTCCGGCTGCTCCCGCACAACGCGCTCCGGTTCCCCGTCAGTGGGCCACGCCCGAAAAGTTCAACGGTGGTGTTCAGGACCGATGGGAGTCCTGGTGGCTCCAGTTCGAGCAGGTCGCGCTCGTGAATGCCTGGACACCGCAGGAAACAGTGCAGTTCCTGCCGCTGGCCCTGAAAGGTGAAGCGTTACTATACTATCATTCGCTGCCCCAGGGTACCCGCCAAGGTCAACTTGCGCCACTGGCCCAGGCGCTGCAAGCCCGCTTTGCGCCACCGCAGCGAGGTGACCTTCACTGTGCAGAGTTCCAGGCCCGCCGACAACGCCAGAAAGAAAGTCTAGGCGAGTACTGCGAGGCGGTGAAGGAAGCCGCACGGCTCGCCTACCCGAATATGCAGGCCGTCGACCGCGACATGCGACCGCGACATGCTCGCCAAGGACTCGAGGGCAATGCGGGTCCGCATCAAGGAGCTCAATGCGGCCACCCTTGATGATGCTCTCCAGGCTGCGCCGCTGCATCATGATGTGCGGGTGATCACTCTTACAACGAAGACCTTTATATACAGCACTGGTGAGGAGATTCCAAATGTACACATTTTCGAAGGAATAGATGCTGAACACGGAGCTTCGGAAGAAGGCCATGAACGACTTTGAGAAGGACTTCTTCAAATTGATGAACAACGCTGTGTTTGGGAAGACCATGGAGAATGTAAGAAGAAGGATCTCCATTAGACTACTCCGTGCAGAAGAAGAAGAAGATGCCATCCTCACAGCTGTGGCTAAGTCCACGTACGTCCGCCATGTCCTGTTGGACAACGGACTTGTGGGTGTTGAGAACAGAAAGCTGACGGTCCACCTCAACAAGCCAGTGTATGTTGGTATGAGCATACTGGAGCTCAGCAAGGAGCTCATGTACAGCTTCTATTATGACGAGCTCCAGCCACGCTACATATTCCTGCTATGCAACGCTCCGCGCTCAACATGATCTCTGTCAGTGGTTCACCTATCACCGTACACAGCCAGTGTGACCTCACGTTCTCCTTCAATAGCGTCCTCAAGCTCAAACATTCTGTTCTCATCGCCGATATTCAACCGGAAGTAGTACTTGGTCTCGACTTTCTCACAACACATAGTGGTATCGTGAATGCGTCTAAGTCCACCCTGTCGATAGGTGATGTCTCCATCTCAGCCACGTCTACACCTCCAGTCCGCTCCGTAAGTCCCCTCCCACTGCTGACAACTCAGTCCACCTCACTGCTGCATGTACGATCCCTCCATTCTCTCAGCTGAATGTACCCTGTCGCCTCGCCGACAGTCCCGACCATTGCAGTACAGACCGTCCGCTAGTAGTGGAATCTGCCAAGTCCTGTATGAATAAGTATGATGTAGTATTTGCCACTGCTGCCGTCATCCCGATAAGATTATACCACTCCGCGTACTGAATACGCAGTCAACACCACGCTGCCTTCCCAAAGGTACCCTAGTTGCAACAACCAGTCCATGTGCCCATACTTATTGTACCATGAACAGCCTGGGCTGCTAGTCATGTACTAACTACAGTAGTCTAAGAGACTGAACGAGGTTATTATTCCACTTACATAGAGGCAATATGCTTTGGTTCTGCAAGAGTGCTCAATGCCTAATTCAGGCAGAGCGGCGTACACAAAGGCACACAATGAAAACCTTGGCAAATTAATTAATTGTCTGATGATTGGTTCAGCCATGAAACTCTAGTCACAACGGAATTAATTTGCCAAGGTTTTCATTGTGTGCCTTTGTGTATTCCCCTTACATAGAAATTGACAGAGCAGTTTTTTTCCAAACAAGGTTATGATGATCTGTGTGTGTGTGTGTGAGTTGCATTGGGACAAGTAGAATGCATTATACTTGTATGCCCTTTTAGTGGGTAGTTTTGTGGTTTGTGTGCAGAGAGAATTGGAGAAATGTGCTCTTTTTGTGAACTTCTTCCTTATTGGCCCACGGTAGCTTATGGAGCTACTTAGGGGCTTCGAGAGCCATTTTTCGGTACTACGAGTTGCATCTAGGGTTTCTAATAGGGTTCAGCCAGCTGTGGACAAAGGAAAATTCAAAATTGCACCCGGATCAAAGCATACTCCAATTCTCTCTGCTCACAAACCACACAACTACCAATTGATTAAAAGGGCATACCGGTATAATGCGCTCTACTTGTCACAATGCAACTCAAATTGGTAAAGATTGTCTTGGCCTTGTCAAGTTGAAAAAACCCTGCTTGGTCCATTTCTATGCAAGGGAAATAATCACCTCGTTCTCAAATAGTCCATGGCAGGTCGGGCCTAATGGCTTGTTAGTGCCCTCCAAGTTAGCGCTCGGGCTAACCTGGAGGGCACTACTTCAAGTCCTGCAAGTCAGCTGGTGGTGGTAGGCATATTTTCTGAGTACTAGTAGATGATTTACCACTGCTTGGTCAGCTTGGTTGCGACCGAATTAATTTATCTGCTTCACAAGAACGAGTCTCCAGAAGCGATCGAGTCGAGCAGGAAGACGACTTTCGAATTTCGCCGAGCGAGCGCTGATGACGTAACGAGGGATTAGCTTGCCAGTGGAAATGCACCTGCGCACATACATTTCACACACTTTTTGGCCAATTTTCAATTGAAGAGGAGGTTGTTTGCTATGTTCTCCCAACGTCGTGAGCGATCCCGTCTTCTATACCCTTCCAGGTACCCTGAAGGTCCTCCAGAGGAGAATTTATCTCCAGCAAAGCGTTGTTGATCCGCTAAATTCGTCTCGAGACATATTCACCCAGTGCAGTGCTGATAAATGTAGAATGTTGAATCTGTGATAATTGTCGACGATGGAGAGAGAGGCTGATAGCTGCTGTCGCAGGGAGAGTGAAGCTGCTGGAAGTAACGGGGAGCTTGTTAGCATCACATGAGCATCCAGACTTCAAAGCAGCTTGACGGAATCGGGGAGTACTGACTATTTGTCTCGCCCTCAGCTTAGTGAATTTTATGACCAGAAAATTATTCGATCAGGATCCCTTCTACAAGATGTGTAGTACAGGTGATTTCTGAACTTGACGATATGGAGACCGACCAGTAGACTTACCAACAACGTGTACCTGCAGGAAATTCACCCAAGGCTATTGCTATCCTCTTCAGTGGCTGTTGTTTTTTAGTAAAAATATGTTCACTTCTCTCAACATACTCCTTCATGGCAGCAAGAAGGTGCGCTATGGAATTCAACGCCACAATCTTCGCCCAGCTGTGGATTAAGCATGGTCAAGTCATGACAGTACATATACTTGAAACAGATGAGAAATTGAAGTTCATTTGTGATGGGAAGTTTGACAGCCCCAGTGACCGAGTCAAGCGTTGTCTTTTGCCGTGGCACGAATTGCTGAAGAATCCGAGATCTTCGATTGAAAATTGGCCAACACGTGTGTGAAATGTATGTGCGCAGGTGCATTTCCACTGACAAGCTAATCCCTCATTACGTCATCAGCGCTCGCTCGGCGAAATTCAAAAGTCGTCTTCCTGCTCGACTCGATCGCTTCTGGAGACTCGTTCTTGTTCGAGGGTCTTCTCTTTCACCTACCTTCGTCTTGGCATCGAAAACTCGGCGTCAAATGAAGCCGGAGTGCCCCCTTTTAAAAACCTCTATTCTGTGCATTCTAATGCGGTGCTACAGTCAAATTTCACTGGCCAGAACTGTCGACCTTCAATACCGTAAAATTCCGTTAATAAGCCCCGGGCGTATACTTTGCAGAGCGTCAAAAACCGGGCGGATATTCGGGCATGGGCTTATTTTAGGGCATGGGCGTTATTTCGGACGCAATCTGCAGAAGATCAATCTATCAGCAACCCACTAGTTTCAGTGAACCACCATTCATACTAAGCGTGGTACAGGCACATCAAACCACAGCTGGAAATTTGGTCGTAATTAAGAATGCAGCGATAAATTACAGATTTGATAGGTAAACCACTTGCTATGGTAAGTACAAGGCACAACACTTTACGCCCTGGGCTTATTTCGGGCATGGGCGCTAAAACGGACTTGAAGTGTTCATATCGGACATGGGCGTTATTTAGGGTGGGCTTATTTACGGAATTTTACGGTACTCCCTTTTGCATCTTCTCATTGGGCATCTTTGCCTATTCGGCTTACGTACAGCAATGCAAAATACATAAAATAAATAAATTAAAAACAGCAAGAACAACAGCAATGACAGCGACAGCAGCAACTGCAGAAATGAACAAGTTTCAGTGCCCTGACTCAGGGTGAAAGTGACAGTCATTTTTTGGACTCCCTTTTGTAAAAAGGCTTTAAAAAAGGCCCTTGGTGGGACATCACTGATTGGTTGTCTCCTAGACGCCTCATTCTAAGCAATTTAAAAAATGTGCAAAAACTTACCTGATGCCAAAGCCATGCATATTGTTGGGATTACGGCGCTCTCTCAACAACACGGAAAGTTCGCGCCTATCAACATGTCAGTGGAAGCACACACTGCATTTCTGAAGACCGATCTTTTTGGATATTATTATTATTATTATTATTTTGTTTTACATCGGAAGCTCAACAGTGCAGCTGCACAAATATGAAGAGGCCGATGGGACCAAAAAAATAAAATAAAAAAATAAAATAAAAAAATATATAAACAATGTATATACATCAGTGTAAATGTTCTATAAGGCCATCATTTTTTATAGCTATGTTTCGCGTCGTCCGCACGCATACGTTTTGATTTTTTTCGGAAAAAATAAAAAATCGAACATGCACAGTGAGTGTATGATCGTGCGAGTCATCAGTGTGGACAGGTTGCATACGGCGAAGCTGGGATTCAGAAATGGCCTCTAGCCTAGGCCAGCGTTGGTAAATCGTTTGTTCGGCATCTGGGAGCAATATTCTATGAGCTTACACCAGACCGCATTGATCGCCTAAGCTGAGAGGATGCGTCGTTCCGGAGCTCTTTGCACCGCTGCTTAAGTCTGAGTACAATATTCCAGCGAAGCATAGGCACCATGACCAACAGTTGCCTCCTCTGTCCAAAGTGAATATTTACTCATGCTGATAACCCAGATGTTGTGCTTCGATGTACGATTTTTCTTTCGAATGTACACCATGCACGAGCTATTGTGCTATGTACAGTGCATACCAGGGAGTACAGTCAACTTCGCCAATAACGACATTCGGCGGGGCAACAGAAAAGTGTCCTTATTCACGAAGTGTCCTTATAACCGAAGTCCCATTTGAATGTATGTGAACCCATATTTTGTGTAGTATGACATGCATATCAAAATCAAGCTCTTTTCTTGCTCTATGTCAATGTGTACTTTATTTTCATATTGCAGTTGAAAGGAACTAAAAATTCAATATGCAAGGGAAATCAATTGAAAAATATGCCTTTTTGAGCCATCTACAGGGCCAGAGACATGTACATGTATGATGATTTCTGTACAATCATGTACAACTACATGTACATTGTATACATATAGGTGTGCTGGTAAATAGGCCTTGACGGATTATGCTAGCATAATTTTTCGCATAATTCCTACCAAAATCGAATAATCGCATAATTCGAGGCAAATTGCATACGAATCGCATAAATCCGCCTGTTCGCATCAAATTCCATACAGCTGTACATGTTCTACAAGTACAAGTACAAGTAGATGCACCAGGAAGTCGTAGGTTTTCGACTCCCTTGGTAACATGTCCAGTCCACTACAATCAATGACGGTCGTAGCTAGCGCTAGGTCACACGGTGCGTTGACCCCGTTGAGCTTTTGCTACTACAGTACAGCGCCCTCTACAAAAAAATTCCGCAGTTATTCTGCACAGAACCATCATACATTAGCAGCATATGTGAGCATAATGCGGCATAATTATGATAACTTTTAGCATAAAAATAGCATAATTTTGCAATTTTTTCAGCAATGCGAAAAGCATAATTTAACGAAAATATTAGCATAATCCGTCAAGGCCTACTGGTAAATCCAACAATTTTGAAGCCAACATAAAAAAGGAAGAAAAAGCCCCCCTTGGCTGCATTTTCTTGCATGTGTGCCTTTATAATAATAATATCCATCACCATAGGTTCTGGTACTTCTGCATGACAGGTACATGTACTTGACTGACAGGTACTTGAAATAGCTGTCAAAAGCCCAGAAAGTCGTTATTCAAGCAGTGAATATGACCTCGGGGCACTAAAAGCATGTCGCTATACGCGAATTGTCGTTATTCAGATAGTCGTTATATCCGAAGTTAAATGTATACAGTTAGATGGGACTTTGCTCTGGGCATGGAAATTCGGTCGTTATTCGCGAATTGTCGTTATATCCGAAG